TGGGCGCATGCGCGAGAACTGAGACGAGGACGTTCTCATTCGTCTACTTCTTGTTAAAGGCTGCTCACCGCTTAGGAGTTTTACCGCCACCTACCGTATAAGATGATGTGCTGATATAGCTGGAAGCGCAAAACTTTCTGTTTACAAGCAGAGGAAGATGCGCGCTGTGCACTTAAAAGCCTTTAATCTTCTCAAAAAACGACAGTGTTCCTTATAATGTGTTCCACACAAAAAGTAGTCTCGTCGCTTGATAAACTTATAATTGAGCCGCTGTAGGCACATGGAATATTTAAACCTTTTCTTTAATGACTTTATGGGCCGTCAAGAGCCAGTCCCTTAGGCAGTCTATGTAGGACTGATCTAGCTCTCAGATTCAATCAAAAATATCTTTATTTGTGTTCCGAAGATGAACGAAGGTCTTACAGGGTTGGTACAGCATGGGGGTGAGTAATTAATGACTTAATTTTCATTTTTGGGTGAACTAACCCTTTAAGATGTAGATGTAGAACGCACTGAATCTGATTAAAACAAGACTGAAGCGAACACAAATTTGTGTAGCACATTAAACACAAATTTTTAGGGGGTTAGGCATAAATTTAGGGAGGCTGAAGCTGAACTAGGGGCTGAACTAGGGCGTGCAATTTGATCCTCATATAAGCTAGGCCAATTTAGTTTAAAGATGAACTGAACTGAAAAATATCGACGTTGAAAACGTGTTGTTTATGACAATTAAAAAATAATTACACTAAACATTTTTTTTTAAATATATATTAATATAGCATTTTTAAGCAAGCAAAATTGCGCTTGTTAGCGCTGGCAGTTCCGATGACGTCACTGGCATGGTAGGACCCGCGGAGCGCCATAGACAACAGCTGTAGGTCCTGTATACACAGACGAAAATGAGCGCTTTTAACGGCATGGATTACGCATTTGAGCCCGTGAGGGACAGGCCGGTAGTGTCTAACTACCACCACATGGAGGACGATCAGTTTCAGGCTTCACTTGCAGTACAGGATCGTTTGGGGGAAAGTGACTGTGGGCGCGAGCGCTGTGGAGCATGGACACTGCACGGAGACGATCTGTTGCAGAGAGGTCAACATGGACATTTATTGATAGGCGAAAAATGCATCACCATGCACCGTTCATTTCGGATGCTGTTCGGTGAGAGAAACGTGTTGAAGGAGGCTATGCTGTCTCTAATGGATGTCCGAGCTGAGACGCTGGACCGCCCCATAAGTAGCAGGGTATTTTACGAATAGGTGACGGCTGGGCTAACTTGTTTCACTTTTCTCTCAGATTGTTTAGATTAACAGCGTACTGGCAGTTCACTCTATGGGCGAGGGTGCATTTAGGAAGGAGAAAATCCCATCCTTTACAGTGAACTATACATCAGGGATCTTTTCCCCCTCACCCGAATATCAAGGATTCGAGTAACGTTAACGTGATGCATTGAACTTGTAACTTGTGTAAATAAACATTTTGTGCATTGTCAGATGTTTCATGTACTCATTGACGAAAGTGCACATCTCTAAATAGTGTGTCGCTAAAAAATCTGTTTCCTCAGCCATGTCAGCTAGCCTCAGACTGTTTACAAGCTACGGCTGTTCTGCTGGTGCGGGTAGGCAACGGAGTGGCTTACCATGCCAGTGACGTAGTCGAACGTTGAAATCCAACATGGCGGCGCCCGTGTAACAAAAACAACACTTTCAATGTACCATTTTATCCCTTTTAACAAATTCTGCCATTTTAAAAATTGTACCAATGAGAATAAATAAAATACATCTGTTATATCACCTTTTCTCAAATTTCAGTTCAGTTCATCTTTAAGCTTGTAAATTACGTCCAGACACAGTGAACAGCAAAGCTGTAACAAGGAGGATGGTGAGTGGGTGATCTGAAGAAGATCGAGCAATTTAAAGTACTTTTTTCAGCATTGATTTCTTTGCAGTTTAAGATTCAGTCTAAAGCAACTCGCCTAATCACAGGTCTGTGTGATAAACGATGCTATATTGAGCGATCTAATCGACGTCGATGACAAGACAATGATAAGCTCTGGACATTTTTACTCGTTATGAATTCATCTAACAGCAGGAATTAACGCGACAACAGCCAGTCAGTGCATGACGCTACTGTTAAGTAATTTATGCGTGTCTCTGTGTGGATAAAAACATTTTAATAAACAAACTCACACTGATGTTTTCAGCATCTGCGTCTCAATAGCACGGACTTCATCTCTGGTAAGGTTTCAGCAGTTCTAAGCTCAGCACATACAGGCATACTGCGACAGGGTTTCTCGAGTCAAGACAAAAACTGGTTGTTGTTGCAGCGGTTTTCGAATCACCAGTACCCACAGAACCGAGGACCGATGAGCTTGAGATACTGCGCATGCGTGATAGCACCGTCTCTGCTCTGAACCGGTATTTTGATTTTGAACCGGTTCATTGTAACGAACTGTTTTTCTAATACTAAACGAACCGAATTTCTAATATGGACGGGCTTTGGTCCTTCACAAGATTTTCAGAATTTTCACCGTTTCATTTGAGAAAACCACCGACAAACAACACTGAAACAAAAATCATCACGACAATCGTCAAAATAAAAGTCTTCAAAAATAAATCACTACTGCAAACTACTGTAGCCTACTATTTGAAAAAAAAATGCAATGTTTTGTTATAAATTAATTGTTATAAAATCTAATACAATTGTTGTTTAAAATCTTGATTCAATTGTTAAAGTTTAAATAAATGTGTAAACACAGAATTCCATAAAATGTAATGGAAAACAGAATTTAGGGGAAAATAAAATGGATTTCATAGAAACCTAAATTAAAGGTTAGTTGAAAAAAAAATTCTGACATTATTACTCACCCTGATGTCATACCCGTTCACCGAGGAACACAAATGAAGATATTTTTGATTACAACATGATTTTGATTTGAACATGACATTTCAGGCCCTCCCTCATTTAGGAGCAACGCAATTTACACATTCAAGGTCCAGAACAATAGAACACAAATGTCATAAATATCTTAATTTGTGTTCTGTAGGTGAACTAAAGTCTTACGAGTGACATAAGTGTGAGTAATTAATGACAGAAGTGAACCCTTTAAAAGTTAGCTACTCTGTGGAGTTTAATTGTGATCAAACATTTGTTAGACATTCGTTCTCAATGTCTAACAAATATGTGGAAAGCATTTCCTTCCCCATTTAATTGTGATAAATACCAATATCATATAATATGGAAAAAGTATATTGTAATATGTTTGGCCATATTGCCCAGCCCTTGCTAATCATTCCTCTAACATCCATGTATCACTTTAAATACTTTTAAGATATTTAAGACATAACTCTTTCTCTGTACTTAAAGGAATAAAAAGGAATAAGAAAAAAGTTGCTATATTTTTGTAAGATGGGTAACCATTTTAGTCCTTATTTACTGTACAAAGAGTATTTTGTAGTGATGTTAGCCACAGTCCGTATTTTACTCATAAATCAAAAACTGCCTTTCTAGTATCCTAGGAACTCTCCTGAAGGAACCCATGGCGAATTAGCCTCCCAGTTAGGGATTGTATTATTTTATTTTCTAAAAAATATAATTGAGTTAGTCGAAGAGTTGTCAATAGCAATTCATTATATAAATGTATTAATGTGCATGTGAAAGGTTGTCAACCTTCCCTTAAAAAATTCAAGAATCGACACAAATTATTGTAAATAATTTTAAATTCAAATATTCTTGTGAACAAACCATGGAATATGTTTATAAACCTCAAATTGGAATGTTTGTGTCTGCTTATCTGCAGATTATCTTCAATCACTCCTTGTAATTTACAGTAAATGAACCGATCGCAGCTCTTAATCAGTGGATCAATCTGTCTTTTCATGCATGACCTGGTTATGGTAAAGTGTAATCTTACTCATCTGTGTGTGTGTGTGTGTGTGTGTGTGTGTGTGTGTGTGTGTGTGTGTGTGTGTGTCAGTCAACAGGTAGGGCCTACATCAAGGATAAATGAACACTGTAAAAAAAACAAAAAAAACCAATTCATTAAATTTACGGTAAAACCCTGGCAGCTGTGGTTACCAGAGTTTTCCTGTTAAAAATACGGTAGCAAGATTTTAGGTTTTACAGACTTTCAACCATATTTAATTTTACAAGACTTTCAACCGTATTTAATTTTACAGCAATATACTGTATTTCATTATCTGATATAATGTTACAGTAATTTACTGACCTTTTGAAGTATTAATATCTGCTTTGTTCAATTGTAATACATGGACAGCCAACAATCACAGCATTAATGAGAGTCGTATGATCAATCTAAGCTCATCATCATAATCAGCTCTTCCACAAGAGAGTTAATGCTACTATTAAGAAGCTGCACAGCTTCATTCACACAAACATTAAACACCATCATGGTAACATGTTGAAATTAAAAAAAAAAAATCAATAACTATAATTTAACAACATTAAATGTAACATAAAACCCTAATGTACATAAGTGATTAGAAAAAAAAAACTAAGAAAATTCTGAAGAAACAGTTTAAATACATTAAATGTGAAGTGTCACGCTGGGAATTGTGGGAATGTCAATTTACATTTTTTATCACTGTATAAATTATATGTAAATATACTGTTTCACTTCCAAAAACTGTAAATTTATCAGTATTTTACAGTAAAATTACATTAAATGTACCATGTATATATATATATATATATATCACAGTTATTTACCGTATATAGTAAGGGAACTTTCTGTTAACCAATTTACAGTTTTTCACTGTAGCATTTTTACTTTCTTTTACTGTTAAAATCACGATCATTTTTTTACAGTGAGATAAAATAAAAATGAATGTTGTAACATTTCTGCAATTGTGAGATCCCTTAATCTAATTATCAGTGTTAATTTCAGTTGTTTTACAGTAGTTACAGTAAGTTGTTATTTTTTTGTTTTGTCTATTCCTAGGTTTGTCAATCAGAGCTTGTGAATGTTTGTGAGCTGCTAATTCACAATGAAGCCAGTTATACTCAGCATGAGTGTCCTGCTCATCTCCTACATCTGTTGGGGTGATCATATATGCATGTATGTTTGTCTCGGCGCCTGCTTCGTGCTCTTGGCTAACTCAGTTCGCCAGGCGGGACGTGGCTTGTCCGATGGAGATGGCCGGGCAGTGTTAGTAACAGGTTGTGATAGTGGATTTGGACATCACCTTGCAAAGAAACTGGACAGCATGGGCTTCACAGTGTTTGCTGGATGTTTATGCCCTGAAGGTCCCGGAGCTCAGCGTCTGGTTGAAGAAGGCTCTGACCGTATGAATGTGCTCCAGCTGGATGTGACCAAAGATGAACACGTAAGCTCGGCCAAAGATTTTGTGGAAGCAAACTTGCCAAAGAAAGGTAACTTAAACACTTCAAATTCAATTCTTTCTAATATAAGGCATAATGGTATTTAAAGACGACCTATTACTCTCTTTTTCATGCTCATCTTTAGTGTGTAATGTTGTTTGAGCATTAAAAAGCTCTGCAAAGTTTCAAAGCACAAAGATATATGATTATCTATATCCAGTGATGTAGTGGTGCCTGGAGAAGTGGGTATACTCTTAATTTATGCCCCCAATATTTTTTTAAGCGTCCAAGCAAAGGATGAACGCCCTGTGTTATAAACAGTTACGTGTAAGACTACTAGTCTTGCATTAGTATTCAATATGCAAGACGAATAGAGTATAATGAATACAATAGAACACATAGAATCAGTAGTATCCTTGCATATCAGGGTCGCACATATGGTTTTCTTAATACCCAGGTGCCAGGTCCCATAAATGATATTGTTAGGGGGGTTCGGGGGCATGCCCCCCCGAGAAAATTTTGATTTTCCTTATCTCGAAATGAGAATTTTAGGGTGTTTTGATGGCCAAAAAAATTGACAACAGTAGCTTTAAAATCATGAAGTTGCCTATTTGATCAGATTCTTAAACATGAGAATCAGTTCCAGTTTCAGCGACTTTTCTTTCCTAAATTAATCAATGTTTTTTGGACTAATGTGTTAATTTAATAATTGGTTCAATTGCTCACTCAAAAAGACAGTCACTTGTCGCCACCCTCTGGCGCAATGATGCAAGTGGCGCAAACACAGACAAGCGGAGTTATACAAACAGTGAAAAGTCAAACACATTCGAAAAAACGTTATACAAATATATTTATACAATAATAATGGCAATATATTTAATAGGGTGATTGTGTTGTTAAATTGAGCTTATAATTTCCATTGTCTTTTATCAAACTGATTATTTCTGTCGGTCATTTAAAACGTCTATTGAAAAACAGCCGTAAATTTGAGCTACTTGCATATCTTATCTCGCACTGTATGATCGTTAACTGAAGTGAAGCGTCGCGTTGGGATTCGCGCTCGGCTCGCGCTTCTGTGAACATAAATAAGCCTACTGCATTCTTTGATTGGTCTCACGAACATTTTAACATTGACGAGCAGGTGTTTGAGTGCTGAAGCAGATCAGATGAGAAGGTTATCGTCGCGAATCATTGCAGCAACAAATTAGAGTTAATACGGGTACGACTCTAACTGGGTGGGGTTTTTTTTATTCACGAAATTGGATTAGCAACTAACGTTAAGATGCGCGTCAGAGGGGATTTAGAAGTGGGTATACGCAATTCCGACTGAAAAGGAAGTGGGTATACGCCGTATACCTGCGTATACCCTGCACTACACCACTGTCTATATCAGTGTTTCTGAACTCCTGAACCGCCTCCGTTGTAGTCTTGAGTTTCTTCCGGGAACGAACACGTCACAATATTCCTCATTTAAATAATTCATATGCAGAATAAAGGGGTGGGGCCTGGTTGAGTTAGTAGTGTGTTAAAACTGGCAATTATAGTAATTTCCCAAACACACCCAAAGCGCTTGACCAATCACAACACACTGCTCCAGCCAACCAATCAGAGCACAGTGTGCTTTTCAGAAGGAGGGGCTTCACAGAGACAGGAACTAAACGGGTGCGTTTCCCGAAAGCATCGTAAGCCAACTATGGTCACAAGTTTCGTCATTATCGTCATAGTTCAACGAGTCTGTGTTTCCCGAAACCGTCGTTCCAATGAAATTTCGCAAAATATCGCTACGTTGTGTGTTCGGAGCGACTGCTCTCAGGCTGTGCATGGAAGCGATTTTGTAGATTGCATGGCATGTGTACTTTTTTCATTATTATTTATTTATTTAACAGTCAGACATACATACAAACAAACCAACATAGTGCAGTAGTGAGCAAACTTGTAAATCCATGATTCCAGCAGTGGCAAGAGTGATTTAAGTGTTTGATCTAAGTGTGTATGTGAGCGGGTGTGAGTGTGGGTATGTGTATGTGTATGTAAACAAAGTAACCATTTATTATTTATTACCATTGTCATTACCATCACCATCCCACTCCCCACTACCACCATACTACCCATATTGTGTTTGTAGATTTTTATTTCCATCCTTCCTCCTATGTAACAATTGCCATTGTCAATCCTGTATAAAATATAATATGATATAATAAAATAATATAATATAAGATAAGATAACCTTCCCCCACATCTCATCAGTCCCTATCTTTTCCTTATTTTTCTGTTTTTTGTGTGTGTGTGTGTGTGTGTGTTATGTGCAATGTCTAAAGTGCATTAAAAGAGGGAGTACAGTGCGAGAGTGTCTCAAATTGGGCCAGAGATGCTGTCCTGTTGAAACCACTTCTCGCCTGTCTTGCCTGCCTTGGTGTTTGGCGTGGTTTTTTTTTTTTTTGTTTTTTTCCCCCTATTCTATGTTGTGGTGCATTAAAAAAAGAGATAAGAAGGAAGTTATTGCAATACTGATGACAATGACACTTAATTCTAGTTCTACATTCTAATTCTACAGCATTGACAATGGCAATATTGATGATAATTATAATAATAATAATAATAAATGACAATGATGATGGCAGTGGTGATCACAATGGTGAGAGCAAAAGACAGCAACAACAGCAATTACAACAATGAAACAATACCAAAAAGAATACAAGTGAAAATAGTAATCATAACAGTAACAGTAAAGATAGTAATAACAATGATGACAGAAACAAGTTCAAGCAATTAAAATGCACAAATATTCGTGGGTTGGTTAAGAAGGTGGGAGGAGTCGGAGTTAAGAACAGAGAGAGGATTGATAGCTGTAAGAGGTCAGTGTGTAAATCCTTGTCTAGAGCAAAATAAGTAAGCTGGCATTCAGTGCAATCAATATCTTTTATTTAGAATACATTCAAATGTCTTTGAGTTTTTAAAGCAGGAGTTTTTTAAGAGTGCACTCTTTTCAAGAGGTCTGCTATATAAGAACGAGCTTATGATTGAATCTGGAAATAAAGCAAAGCAACTGAGAAGAATAAGAGATAGTCCTCAGATATCATGTATGTAATTTATAGCAAAACATCTATCACTGATTCGATCTCAAACAGATTCACTAAAAAACGTAATTACTCCGCCACCTGTGCGACATCATTAAAAAATGTGGTTGAACAACCAATTTGCGATAATGCGGTTTTGAGAAACAGTCGTGACTAGCTGATTTCTTCAATGATGCATTGTATTGTTAGAGTAGATGCCAGCCTGATCCAGGAAGTTCGGTCTGGAATCGATCCATTGAGGTGTAATTATGATCGGTTCAGAAATTGTCGGGCCAATTAAAATGGCCAGGGTGGACTTTATACGATGGTGGACAGATCTGCAGTAACGTAATCATCAGAGCGCTTGGGTTGAACTGGTTTCCCTCAAAGTTGACTCATGGAGGACCAAGTAAAATAAGCAACACTCATTATTTTACTACTTCTTCCAGTGTGTGTGTGCAGTTCTGTTGACAACTATGTGTAGCTCAACATATGTCACTTATTGCGTTGCTCTGATTGGTTGTAGGTCTATCCAATTGAGTGCAGTTTTTTTTTTCCTGGTTCGGTTAAAGGGTCATGAAACTCCCCTCTTTTAGCTCAAGTCTAGCTCACAATCTTTTTGAAAAATGCAGCTTAAATGTGTGTGGATAGCTGTGAGAAAAAGGGAGGGAGTGGGTGTGTTAGTATCACTAACAATGTCCCATGCATATCGACTATCACTAAAAAGCAGTGGTAAAACGTGAGGAAATGCTAGATTATTTTATATAGCTGGCAAAGTCTTATGAAATACACTGACACTTTATTATTGTCCTTTCAAAAGGAACTGAATGCCCTATACATATTAGCCTACAGTAATCGTAATTCTATTCAAAACATATTAATGTAGGCTACACATATAATTATAATGTCATTATAAAATATATAGTGGTTTATATAGACACTACAAATGCATTAAAAAATTGTAAATTTTCCGCTTTAAAAAAATCTTTCCATGCATAGCTCTACGTGCCCCCTGAACCCCCATGATGGCTCTGCTGAGGTGTATGACTTCTCATTTTAGACACACACACACACACACACACATCTCTGAAGTGCAAGACGCCACTCCACATCTCTCGCAAGACGCCACTTGGATTAGTTGTCAACAAGGCGAAGTCCACCATTATCTACTTCTCGCAGCTCTTTCTCTCTAAAATGTTTGCGGCACACACTATATACCCCTTTTGCGCCTACGTCACAGTTACGTCACAGCGCTAGCTGGAGGCAAAACAAAGTGAAAACTGGAGGCGGTCAATGCAAAACAGCACAGATTCGGCTACATAATAAGGAGCTTAAATAATTGTTACTATTATTAAATGTCATCTTGTTGTGTTGTTTGGTGCAAAAATTGATGAAAAATGAATATGCTGTGTCTGGAACTTTTATTTCTAGAAAATATTCACATCATTAAAATCGCACTGTAATGTCACTCTTTACATTGTCGTGGTCTCGGCGCTGGCTCGGCAGAACTGCGGATCGTACACACAAGTCTTGTACAGGACCATATAGGCATCTAAAGATTTATATGCCTCAGTTTCTCTTTACGATCGGTTTCTCTATAAGGTAGGTGTAGAAGTCAGGCCACTCAACCGAGGTAACGTAACGTTAATCCTGTCAGATCATCCATGCATTGAGTGAGCGGCTACAAGTCGGCCAATCTGGTTCCGTCCGTTAAAAATAACTTTTGGAAATAACAATCGCAGTCCTGGACACTGAGTGACCTTACACATTAAGATAATATCGGATTTTCTCCAGTCATTGTTAAAAAACAAGCTAACAATCCTTGCTAACTCGCATTAGTGAAGTGGCCAGATGGTTCTTTCTGCCTCCTCCTAAGCTCCGCCCACAAAAAAACGTCACCATGTTTACCAACTGTAAAAGGGTCTATAGTTTAGATCGTGTTTAGATGTGTCCGTGGTTGATGGCAAACCAACCTTCCAGAGTCAGAGTCTAGCCCTGGCAGCATCGCGGGGAACATATTCAACGCACTTGGACTTTTGCACCATGAAAACAAACACTTGCGTTCCATGATTTCCTCTCTCATCTACTACGCGATCTCACAGTTTGTCATGTCTATCGTTGGAAAGATCCACGTGGTGTCATGAATAATTAAGAGACAGTGTCTTCTGAAACTCAGTCTCATTAATAATTATGAGACACCGATGAGTCGTCAACGCACTCACAGTGCACACACGATGAAGATTTTAAACCCGGAAGACAAAAAAGCGGAAAAAAATCAAATTTAACCATTTTAACCCTATTATTAAATCTAACAGATGCTAACATTGTCTTCAATGGTATTCAATACACATACTTCTGTTAAAATCTCAGAAAATTTGGTTTGAGGTTTCATGACCCTTTAAGACACGCCTCATAATCAAAGCCCTATGGAGCAGCATCAGACTCACATTCTGCCTATGATGAAGTCAGGCTATCGTACTGTGGTAGTGAAGCAACGAGTTGTGTCGTTGTACGGTGGAGTATATGGGAATAATATTGTGTTTTTTGAAAAGCATGAAACATGAAAATATATTCAAGTGGACCCCAAAAACAAAATCAAGACTTTGTAAAAGGGCATATGGCCTCTTTAAAATGTCCAAAATGGAAAGCCCTTTTCTCTCTATATTGTTGTGCATGGTCAGGTCTCTATGCTGTTGTAAATAACGCTGGCATCAGTGACTGGGGAGAGACGGAGTGGAGCAGCGCTGAGGACTTCCAGAAGATGGCTGATGTCAACCTGTTCGGGGCCATCAGAGTCACCATCCCATTCTTGTCACTTGTTAGAGCATCCAAAGGTCATTGAATATAATGTACTAAAGTCATTGTTGATTGATATATTCCTTCAAAAAAAGTTAAAGGAGAACTCCGGCGAACAATGAACCTTTGGTCTAATAAAACATCGGTACATAGTCAACCGTTCTCTGAGATTTGTTTTCATGATAATCGAATGTAAAGTTTTATCTCTAAAAACTGTTTAGCGTATAATGCTAGTAATGGGGGCATTGACTAAGTAAAAAGAAATCGCTGGTTTATACCACCAAAAAGGCTCAAAATAGCCCCACACTCACACAGTAACATAATGAGGCTCCATACATGCAAAACGAAGCATTGAGAACTTTGTAAGTGTACAGACCGTTTAATAAGAAGATACTTTATGAAGACAGTTCACTTCGCGTATACAGGCAGGAGCCATCTTAAAAAATAGTCTCGATAAGTCGATCCCCGAACGCCGTTCATACAGTTCAGAAGTTCACTGAACTTCATAGAGTTCAGATCACTCAGCACGACGTTCGTGGTTTGACTTATCGAGACTATTTTTTAAGATGGCTCCTGTCTGTATACGCGAAGTGAACTGTCTTCATAAAGAATCTTCTTATTAAACGGTCTGTACACTTACAAAGTTCTCAATGCTTCGTTTTGCATGTATGGAGCCTCATTATGTTACTGTGTGAGTGTGGGGCTATTTTGAGCCTTGTTAGTGGTATAAACTAGCGATTTCTTTTTACTTAGTCAATGCCCCCATTACTAGCATTATACGCTAAACAGTTTTTAGAGATAAAACTCTTTACATTCGATTATCATGAAAACAAAACTCAGAGAACGATTGACTAGGTACCGATGTTTTATTAGACCAAATGTTCATTGTTCGCCGGAGTTCTCCTTTAAACTGAAGCTGTCAATAGGGGGGCATCCTTTCAAACGGTCATTTTTACTAGTGGTCGGCGATAGGGATTTTTTGATGACTGATATTTTAGAGAGCAGAGTGGCTGATATGATCCTACATCATTTCATTTAAATAACATGCATACAAATAGATTTATTTTACATATTTACTAAACTAGAAATAATTAATTGTAAAATGGATCAGTATGAAATATAATTTGTGCTTTACTAAAAATAAGTCAAAGCAAAATCAACATATTCATGTTTTAGTAACTTTTTGCTTTTGCTGTGTATGTAGTCTTTTTCACAAATAAAGATACTGTTAAAAACCTGAATTAAAAGGATGTAAACAAAGCAATTAATTATTTGTCAATCAAAATCAAGCCTCGTCCTACATTTGTTCTTGTTCCTGAAGCAGTTTTACCCGGACATACATCACAATGACTATTTCAACTTCCGTTTCATGCCGACTTTAAAGATTACATCAGTGCTGCTCAGGTGTAGCCGTTCTCAGCATCAGAATGAAATCTGCTTCCGAGACTGAAAAAAGCTTATCGGACGATAATTTAAAAGCCGACCTTTTACCATTTAGGTATTCTAATGATAATGCTTTAGGTGATGATATTCACCCTTTAGGGGTTAATAAGTCAATAATTCAAAGTCAAATAAGTTTGAAAGGGTGCCGCCCCACTGACAGCTTTTTCTGACAGTGTTTTGTGTATAGATAACTCACTACTTCTTTAATTTCACAATTCCTTCTTAGGTCGCATGCTATATGTGTCAAGTATCTTTTCTTTCTTCAATTGTCTGAACATGGGAGCATACAGTGTATCCAAGCGGGGACTGGAAGCGTTTGCAGACTGCTTGAGAGTAGAGATGGCCAGTTTTGGAGTTAAGGTAAGGACTGATCCGTTCTGATTAAGAAACCTTAGAAACTGACACATGTACTGACCTAAGTGGACTTTTTGTATTATTATAAATAAACAAATAAAAATATTCATTACAAATAGACCAAACTTTAAAATCAGGTGCTCAACTAACTGTTGAAAAGGTTCAACACAAAACTATATTTCTGCATTGAGTAACAGTTGTTTTTGACAAAACATACTATATTTTTAAAGGGTTAGTTCACCCAAAAATGAAAATTCTGTCAGTATTTACTCACCCTCATGTTGTTCCAACCCCGTAAGACCTTCGTTCATCTTCGGAACACAAATTAAGATATTTAAGATATTAAGATCACTCCTGTATACTAGTCCATAGGCTTCTTGAGGGAATGACACTTGCATCGAAAAGTCATTAAAGGACATCGTTAAAATAGTCCAAGTGACTACAGTGGCTCAATCTAAAGTTTATCAAACGACGAGAACACTTTTTGTGCGCAAAAACAACAAAAATAACGACTTTATTTTAACAATTCGTTTATTTCCCCCTCTGCGCGAGTCAGGTTACTAGTTTAATAGCGTAAGCTTCTGTTATTGTACGTCACACGCATCACACACATGACCAGCGTCGGCCAATAGTGAGCCTTCGTGTGACGTAGCTTTACGCTATCACACTACGTTAACTGACTACAGGCCCATAGAGAAGGAAAGTCGATATTTTTGTTTGTTTTTGCACACAAAAAGTATTCTCGTCGTTTGATCAAGTTAAAATTGAGCCCCTGTAGTCACTTGGACTATTTTAACAATGTCTTTGATGACTTTTCGATGCCAGCAAGTGTCATTCCCTCAAGAAGCCTATGGACTAGTATGCAGGAGCGATCTTAATATATTAAATATCTTAATTTGTGTTCGGAAGATGTTGAAACAACATGAGGGTGAGTAAATACTGACAGAATTTTCATTTTTGGGTGAACTAGCCCTTTAACATATGAGCAGAAACTTTCTAACTAAAGCTTATTTGATGTCTATTTTATAGTAAAAACTTTATAATCTATTTCGTCTCTATCTGTGCGTTCGTTCGTTCACACACCCGATTCATATTTAAACAGTCTTTTTGGTTTTACAGATCAGTATAGAACAAATCTAAGTCTATATAGTCTTACTAATATAGGAGCGAAAGTGAATGAACGCATGAACGCATCTGTCTGTGCGCGCATTTAATATTTAAACAGTCTTTGTGCAGTTTACAGGCACTATTTAATAACGCGATTAGAACAAAGCACTTAAGAATAAATGACTTACATCAGCTGAGTCCACGCTCCTCAAAATTAAACTGCACTTCTGAGGTAGCTTTTCCAGGATTACTGGTATTATTCCTCACTGCGCACTGCGCAGCAAGACGAAAGGTAAAAATTAGTGATAAACTGGATGTTTTATCCTGCTGATGTGGGCGTTTTCATGGTTTGCCTCAACATTAGCGTTTGAATGGCGCACGCTCTCAGTAGGCGGGGTCACATTAACACGTCATACGCTATAATTAGGTGAAAGGAAAAATACAGACATCTCTCTATTTTCATACAGATTACATCAACTGAGAATAGTTGCTTTTTTATGTAAATTACTTCATTTAAAAGAAGAGAATTTCAGCTTCATATAGAGAAATCTTTTGGGTCTCTGTGACAAGTATTTACTGAGTTACAGTTTTCGGACGCATTTCAGAAAGATTTTTGCGGAGACAGAGTGAGCTGAAAGCATTTTGATGTTAATAAGAGTGTACACAAAAAGAGAAGACCCTCTATAGTTTATAATCATGTATTGATTTTATTTATATTACCATTAATGACGGAGTATTTTAAGTTGCAGCTATGTAAAAAAACAAACAAAAAAAACAGCCAAACGCGCCGGCGCGTTCCCGACCTCAGAGGGTTAAAACACTGTAGTTTAATCCAACTTTAAGGTCTTCGTCAGACATCAAGTGTTTCTAAGGGAAACTAAAGATAAACTTAAGAGACAGTAGTGGTCAAAAGTGATGTCTGGCCTTGGAAAATGGACATCTTCACAAATATTAAGAAATCTCTCAAACATTGAAAATATGATCACATGGAAAAAAATGTTGATTATGTTGTAGTAAATTTAGGCTTTTTCATGTGAGCTTTTTTTTTATCTATGCTTTTTTTTTGCATAATAAAATAAAACATGTAGTTATGGTTTAAATTTTAATATAATTTTGTCAGATAAATACCTTACTGAGTTATGTTTTGTTATTCCGTCATATTTAAAAAAAAAAATATATATATATATATATTAATTTTCTTATTTCAATGGTTTAACCGAGCTTGAAGGGTCATTAAAAACAAGTATCCCCTAGGCAACAAATCAAGATAAATCACTATTTTAAATTCAACTGTATTTGTCATTTGACTATCTATTCACAAAATATTAAAAGACTATGACCCAAAATAAATAGTAGTACTAATATAATTAAAACAATCCATAATCTATTTCTTGATTTAGCATCCAACATTGCACATGGTTTTGTATTGTTTTGTAGGTCAGCATTATTCAACCAGGAAATTTTGGTGGAGCCACAAACATTCTTCGCAGGAAAACGCCGCAAGACATATGGGATGGATTTGACCATGCGCGTAAACTAAAGTTCAACCAGAAATACATTGATATGGCATGTGAATACTTCCAGTCGGTGTGCGCTTCCGGGTTTAAGGATTGCACTTTGGTTATCGACGCCATGCTACACGCTCTCACGGCTCCCAGACCTCGAACCCGATACCTGCTGGTGTCCTGGACTGACTTGCTGTTTTTCTACATATACCCTATTCTCCCCACATGCGTCACTGACTCTGTGTTTCTAGCCAGTTCCATGTACTACAAGCGTAAAGCAATGCTGTACTCGTAAATTACGATTATTCATTATCAGAATAGGAGAGCTCTCTTTACATGAACGACTCGGTTCCTATTGTTTGCTTAAGGTTTCCTGGACCGTTATAATGCACTGAAACAAAATATGCGTTCTGTACATCTTTCCCTTTTTTTGTCTGAGGAAAATAATAAAGTAGTTATCACAGAAAGTCTTCTTTTTTTCACTTCAATCTCCTAGAGAGAAACTATTATTTATATTTTTACATAAACACCGCAGGATCATTAAAACTATTAAAGGTAAAGGGTGAAAAGGTGACTAATTAACTTTACAGTTTACGGTAATTTTAAGAATTTAGTAACACTTTATTTTACAGCTTACATCTTACATGTACTTACTATAATCAGGGTAAGTTTCTTGTATTTATGCATAATTTACTGTTATTACTTTAGTAAGTAGGTCTACATGTTGTTAATAAATATTGGTACGTATAAAATTACACAAGGGCACCTTAAAATAGTCTAACCTAAACTTTTTTTTAAAGAAATTAAATTAATCAAGGATTATTTCAACAGGGACCCAGCAAGGATGTTTCAACTAAAGTGACACTTACAGTGTTACAAAAACTTTTTCAACGTTATATTCATTAAAGAATCCTGAAAAAAAATCATCACGGTTTTCACAAAAATACAAAGTTTTTAACATTGATAATAATCAGAAATGTTTTTTTTGTGCAGCAAATCATCATATTAGAGTGATTTGTTAGATGCTGAACATTCAGCTTTGATCACAGGAAATAAATTACACTTTACTATATTTATGTAACCCTTGGCTAAATGTATTACAAAACTGACTACGCCACCTAGGTTACTTCTCCACCCAGGAAAGTAAAAAAAATAAACCCCAAAGGAATTACAAAAATAAGAAGGACCCTGCTGGTTCAGATGGCGTCAAAGACAGAGACGTGACTTCAAAAGTATACAAAGTTTATTTTGTACGAGGGACATTAATTTTAAAACATCTAAAAATAGGTCTCATACACAATTACCAATTAAATACCCACAGCAAATAAGAGACCGTAATTAATCCGCAATAGCTGAAGAGACAAACCACACAACAATCAGTGAACAAAATCAAAGCAAGTGATAAACAATTCAAAAGAAACCAAACAAAAGAAAGCAAATACACTCTCCTCTTCAGCTAAGCCTCATATCACAGGTCAAATCATTCACATGTGGACATACCTGGCAAATACAGTGTTCAAGATCAAAGAAAGGAAAAAAAAGAAAGAAAAATACATCAACACAATTAATCTTTAAAATTGTTCCGGCTGCTGTTACAGACCAAACTTCTCGTTGTTCTAGTTCACTTTAATAGTCCATAATAAACACGCATGCCCAATAATTCAGCAACCCTCATACAGACCAGTCAGGGCAGAGATTGTGGAAGAGCTCGGTCACTACAGCGGTTCGAAACCGCAAACGTCCAATCACTACAGCCAGCCGACAAACAGCGACACCACGAGTATAGAACCCCTAAGAAAACAGCAGCTAGCGCTCTGGACCACACCTGAAATGATACAGTAACAGCACAAAATAGTGTATCAATTTCTAAAGAGTTCCCCCTTCAAGAATTAAGAAAGACCCCAATAATTTGTCTTACCTCAAAGTGAAAGATCAATTAGGCTACAGTAAGCTTTATGCAACCTGCGCTCGCCACTGCACGCACATCCCTAATGACAACACATATTTAGACGGTGATCTATAACTGGAGAAGAGCAATAAGTCAAAGGACTCACCAGGGAATAGCTACAGGAAATATCACCATTTAGACTTTTGTTACACGCAGTACGGAGAAGAATGACAATGGTGCCTTTAGACAAACTTTTTATAGAGCCACCGGGACCCAACAAACCTCCCTAATTGAGCCACACAGGTGTATTCAATATCGTGCCGTGGCTCAATTCCGCTGGGCGTGTCTTCCCATTAAAACAACTCAGAAACTCTTAACCGGTCACATTCTACCCCCTAGTTTTTAAATTCGTCGACCCGACGATATTAACTCCAAGGCCTAAAAAGAGTAGAAACCCCCCTAGCAACAGTTACTTGCGAATTCACACTGCCCCTTCTGCCTCCCATTGTCTCTGGCAAATGATGGGCATTGGAATGGTAGCCTGCGTTTCTTCGGGTGGTTCGACGTAGCAGTGGTCTTACAGTAGTGGTGGTACCCTCTGATGCCACTAAGGGATTACCAGGCAAAGAGTCATGGACCAGAGGAGGCTCCGGAACTCTACCCGATGACAAGGGGACACCGTCAGGGCTGTGGGGTAGGAGTGGAGCACAACTTGAAGGTGCCTGAACAGCAATGGGTACCGTCACCGGAGGGACCTCCCGCTCTGTGGACACTACTAGCCAAGTTTCATCCAATAGATCATCCTCGCCAGAGTCCACCGATGATTGATCAGAATTCGAAAGGAGAGGATTACGAGGCTCTGACAAATTCTGGCCAGCTGGTTGAGCTCTTAACAAAGTACGATGCACATGTCTAACTTTTTCCAAATCTTCAACAGGAGCAATTGTGTACACTGACCCGCCTGATGTCGGGGCTCGCAGCACTTTATAAAGAACAGAACTCCAGCGGTCTTGGATCTTTGCCCGGCCTCGCACACAAAGGTCCCGCAGATACACCAACTGGCCTTGGCTCAAAGGATCATCCTGTACCCGCCGATCATGACGCTCTTTTCTACGTTCCGCTGCAATCTTCATGCGACTTCCAGCTCCGTCAAAGGCCACTTGAAGTCTAGCTTGATGGTCATAAATCCAGTCATGGACACTGCCCTGAGTAGGAGTCTCAATTCTACCCAAGAGGAAGTCAATAGGCAATTGTGGATCTTGCCCAAACATTAAAAGATATGGCGATTCACCCGTAGACTGATGTGGGGTAGTGTTGTAGGAGAAAACCAGTTGAGGGAGATATGCTGCCCAGTTCTTCTTCTTGCAAGACGGTAGAGTACGCAGCAGATTGTGCAGAGTGCGATTAAATCGCTCGCATTGACCATTTCCAGTAGGATGGGCTGGGGTGGTCCGACTCCGTTCAATGCCATACAATGCACACAACTGATGAATAAGGGTGCTTTCAAAGTTCCTCCCCTGATCCGAGTGGATGCGACTGGGAACACCAAACTTGTAGAACCACTCATGTACCAACACCTTTGCCACCGTAGAAGCTCTCTGGTCACGGGTAGGTACAGCCTGGGTATATTTAGAAAACACATCCGTCAGCACAAGAACATTCTCCATTCCGTTCTGTGATGGTTCAATCAGGGTGAAATCAATGGCCAGAATTTGATTAGGCTTTGAAGCCAATAAATGACCCATATAGGTCTGCACTCGAGGGAAAACATCCTTGGCAACAGTACAGCGTTCACATTGGTGGCACCAACGCTTCACATCCTCACTCATACCTGGCCAGAAACACCTTTGTCTCACCAGCTCTGTTGTACGTTCCACGCCCTGATGGCCATGCTCATCATGAAGCTGCTGCATCACTATAGTCTTCAACGATGTTGGGAGCAAGAGCTGAAGAAAGGCCTCGCCGCCCTGGGAATGGTGACACTGACGGTACAACACACCATCCTTCACTTGTAATCGTTTCCACTGTTTCAAGAGTTTACCTACATCAGCACACAATCCCTGCTGCTCTTCACGTAACGGGTATCTCCCTCTCCTCCACAGCTTCAGGAATTCTCCCAATACTGCATCTGCCTCCTGTAGCTTGTGTAAATCTGCCGCAGAATAGCCAGGGAAAGCGGTAATGGATGCTTGTACGCCTCTCTGAGGTCTGATAGAAGCGACTTGTTGGAGGGACTTTGGCAGGGAACTTCCCGGAATCATATTCTCAAGCACAGGTCCAACAGGATGCTGTCGGGAGAGTGCATCGGCATTCCGATTACTTCGTCCAGAACGATACCTAATGCTGAAGTCAAAAGCAGCGAGTTGTGCAGCCCACCTTTGTTCTAGAGCACCAAGTTTAGCGGTATTAAGGTAACTCAGAGGATTATTATCAGTGTAGACCACACACTTCTGTCCCAGTAAGTACTCACGAAATTTCTCAGCCATTGCCCATTTAAGGGCAAGAAATTCCAATTTCATGGAACTATAATTGGACATGTTCCTCTCCGAAGGCCTCAAACCACGACTGGCATAGGCTACTGGTCGAACTCTGCCCTCCTGCTCCTGCGACAGAACTGCTCCCAATCCGCTATAACTGGCATCGATTTCTAAGATAAATGGCAAAGAGAAGTCAGCGTACGCCAACAGGGGAGCACTCACCAACCGTTGCTTTAGGGCATCAAAACTTCGCTGACACTCCTCTGTCCAAACCTCCACACAGGACCGGGCTGGGCCCTTCCTCTTAGCTCCGGACAGGTCAGCTACTAAGCGATGAAGCGGGGCAGCCAGTTTTGCAAACCCCTCCACAAACCGTCTATAGTAGCTGGCGAAGCCAAGAAACGACCGAAGTTCTGAAACCTGTTGTGGAGGCGGCCAATTAGCAACTGCCTCAATTTTCTTCGGATCTGTACCCACCCCTTGGGCAGTAATCAAGTGCCCCAGGTAGTTCACCTCAGACTGAAAGAACGAACACTTCTCCAATTTGACCTTCAAGCCTTCCTGTTGTAGACGCTTCAGGACCACCTCCAGCCGCTGCAAATGCTCAGACACTGAGGAAGAGAACACGATGACATCATCTAGATAAAGCAACAAAGATTGAAAATGCTGCGAGCCAAACATGCGCTCCATCAGTCTCTGAAATGTACTAGGTGCATTGCACAGGCCGAAGGCCATCCTATTCCACTCATATAACCCAAAAGGGGTGCAGAAAGCAGTCTTCATCCTGTCCTTCTCAGCCACGGGGACCTGATTATAGCCACTAGCAAGATCCATTGTTGTGAACCACCTGGCACCTGAGAGAGCGTCCAAGGACTCCTCAATTCTAGGTAATGGAAATGAGTCCTTTCTGGTCTTACTGTTCAGTTGACGATAATCAACGCACATTCGCAGGCTACCATCCTTTTTTTTCACTAGGACAATGGGAGATGCATAGGGGCTACTACTCTCTCTTATAATTTGATTTTCTAGCAACTGATTAATATGAGCCTTAACGGCTTCGTATTCTGAGGGAGGAATACGTCGGTAACGCTGTCTAACTGGAACCTCATCAATCAGGGGAATATCATGTGTGATCAAAGAAGTACAGCCCAAATCGCTGTCATGTGCTGAAAACACAGAAGAGTACTGAGATAATAAAGCCCTGACCTCACACTGTTCTTCAGGGGTCATTGGAGACAGATCCAGAGAATCTATCTTGTCTTGTATGGGACCTAAAGTCATCTGAGAAGAGATTGTGGCCTGTACACTCAGGGGAACATCCTCTACACCTTGGGGTAAACTCACCACAGTTACTGGACTAATGGTACCAAGAACGGTTCGTCCATAGAGGTTAACATCCACTACTCCTACATTAATTACAGGAATATAAACCTGTCCCCGAACTACCTTAACAATGGCAGGGGAAGTCAGAAGACCAGCTGCTAACCCACCACTAGAAGGCTCAAATACTACCGTCAACCCTGTATGTTGCTGAGAACAAGTGGCTGCAATAAACTTCATGGTACCACCAGGCATCCGAATACACCTACCTCCTCGAACCCGAACTCGGGCCGGAGAATCTGAAGGGGCCTGAACTTGAACTTGATGGCACTTCTGTAGGGCTTGTTGCCAAGGATTAGGGGCCTGCTGCACTAAAGTGGTTTCAAAGAGAGTCGGCCCATACTGCCCAAACAATTCATGATAACATTCTCGAATAACATTCATGCCCAAAATACCAGAGACCTGAGTAGAAGTACCTGGACAATCTTTAACTATGAGCACGCCACGTTTAGGAATCACTTTACCAAAGACTTCCACATCCAGTTCCAAATAGCCTATATAGGGAATATCTAAGCCATTGGCAGCCTTAAGCTGCAACCAATGACATGAGTGAAGTTTTTCTAAACCCCAGGGCTTAAAGTTCTTCAAATAAAAACTTTCAGTCACCGTCGACACCATGGAGCCAGTGTCTAACAAACAGGGGACTAAGACCCCACCAACATTAACGGTCACGTGGGGGCATGGTGACAATAAAGGGGTTGTGTGCTCTACATCAGGAAAAACAGCATCTGAGCCAAACACATACCCTTCTGAACTGTGGCTCAGGAGCACAGAAGGTTCTAGTTTTCCTGAAAGCTAACAGAGGGCTGGGGCCGTAACACTTCTGGCTGTAGGTGACGTAAGGTGGTGGGGTTACCCCTTGATGACCAATTTTGAGAAGTACATTCACGGGCAAAATGGCCAGGCTGTTGACACTTTCTACAGATAACTGAACTCCTATTAAAAGTACTTGAAGGCACACTTGGGGCATTTTGAAGTGAAGTCACATTACGGGTTAACTGATCGAGCTGCTCTTGCTGCTTTTTAAGCATCTCTTTTAGCTCCTGTAATTCTGAGCTTGAAGCTGGCGCTGACCCATAAACCCCATACTGCAGCCCATAAGTAGAAGAGGTTGATAGACTACGATCCCTGGTAGACCTGGCTATACCCTCACGTTCCCATCTAATGGCTTCCCCCGAACATCAAGTAAGGTAGCCCTAGGGTTTTGGCGTACTAGCTGTTTCAATTCCCTTCGAAGGGCAGAATCTAAAACATACAACAAATTGGTCACGCAAAAGAACCTCAGAATTAGGCATACCATTTGGAGCATTTTTAATTACCTTTGACATCAAGCCAAAAAGAGCATGTGAAAATTCCTGAAGTGTCTCCCCCTCTAGCTGTCGTCGAGAGAAGAAACTCTCCTGCAAAACAATATATGAATCCGGGCAGCCGTACAGCTCGGTAAGTATTTGAATAACTTTATCTGGATCTTCCCGGTCTTCACTAGGCCTAAATTTTATTTCCTCCCTAGCTTCCCCCTCTAAATGGTCATACAGGAAGTGTGCTTTGTCAATATTGGATAAGTGGCGAAGACGCATACTGGCCTTCACTTCCTCTAGCCAATCAGCCAAAGAAATTCCGGTGCGCCCTCTAAAAACAGGACATTTCCTCTCCCTAGGGACATAAATTAACCTTTCCGTCACCACTGAATTGCCATTGGAGGAAGACCTTGGGCCCGTATCAGGTGCCGCCCCCCTATGATTAGACTCAGAGGGCACCACACTAGGACTTGCCTGGACCTCAGAACGTTCTTGCCGCAGGCGTTCATTATCAGCCTTAAGTTCGGCCACCAAGTCTCGCAATTGCTGCATCTCATCCTCCATAGTGACAGTCTAAATGACAGAAAACACAAGAGAGAGGAAAGTACAAGAACTCTAATGCGCTAGCTGCTGTTTTTTTTGTTGTTTTTTTTTTTTACAAAAAAAAACAAATTAATATCACACAAAAAAACAAAACAAAAAAAACATTAAAGTCACGTCTTGCTTTACACGCCAATCGATAAAACCCTGCCGGCTGCGCCAAGATTGTAACCCTTGGCTAAATGTATTACAAAACTGACTACGCCACCTAGGTTACTTCTCCACCCAGGAAAGTAAAAAAAATAAACCCCAAAGGAATTACAAAAATAAGAAGGACCCTGCTGGTTCAGATGGCGTCAAAGACAGAGACGTGACTTCAAAAGTATACAAAGTTTATTTTGTACGAGGGACATTAATTTTAAAACATCTAAAAATAGGTCTCATACACAATTACCAATTAAATACCCACAGCAAATAAGAGACCGTAATTAATCCGCAATAGCTGAAGAGACAAACCACACAACAATCAGTGAACAAAATCAAAGCAAGTGATAAACAATTCAAAAGAAACCAAACAAAAAAAAGCAAATACACTCTCCTCTTCAGCTAAGCCTCATATCACAGGTCAAATCATTCACATGTGGACATACCTGGCAAATACAGTGTTCAAGATCAAAGAAAGGAAAAAAAAGAAAGAAAAATACATCAACACAATTAATCTTTAAAATTGTTCCGGCTGCTGTTACAGACCAAACTTCTCGTTGTTCTAGTTCACTTTAATAGTCCATAATAAACACGCATGCCCAATAATTCAGCAACCCTCATACAGACCAGTCAGGGCAGAGATTGTGGAAGAGCTCGGTCACTACAGCGGTTCGAAACCGCAAACGTCCAATCACTACAGCCAGCCGACAAACAGCGACACCACGAGTATAGAACCCCTAAGAAAACAGCAGCTAGCGCTCTGGACCACACCTGAAATGATACAGTAACAGCACAAAATAGTGTATCAATTTCTAAAGAGTTCCCCCTTCAAGAATTAAGAAAGACCCCAATAATTTGTCTTACCTCAAAGTGAAAGATCAATTAGGCTACAGTAAGCTTTATGCAACCTGCGCTCGCCACCACTGCATGAAAAGTGGGATTTTCGTCAGTAAGCGGCACTGTAGATTGTCGTGGAAGTTCAGGTTTACGACTGCACACGGCAATTTACAGGTAACACTCAAAACTGCTGTGAATTGCCGGAAATTGACGTGGGCCTTGCTTGGCAGTTGTCCCCCCATTGTCCCCCCTTCTCCTAAATCTAGAGGAGGCTTTGACATGTAAATGAAAATGCTGTGAGCTATACACATGCAAATAAGGGTAGGGGAGTTTCACCCCAGGTAACATTTTTCTGAAAGGTATAACTTCATTCTAAGACAAGATCAGGCTCAGTATAACCTAATTGCTGTGTTTTTTTTTGTTTTTTGTTTTTTTAACATTGCACATAATGCACAACAATTACAACAATAACATGACATCCAAAAAGATAACAATCAACAAATAATAATTTCACAATAAATAAGAAACAAATAAAAATAGGACAGAATTGAACAAATGAAATAAAAACAGGAAAGGGACTATCTCTATTGTGTATAATATTATGATTTAAGAGAAAGTTAGAAACCAGTAATTTGTACTATTTAAAGAAAGAAAATTAGCTTCAATTAGCTTCAATATTCTTTAGCAAATACAATTGTATCACTACATTTTTATCGATACATTTGAGAGACAGAATATACTGAAAACTAAAAATTAGACCAAAAAAAAAAAAACTTCAAACAAGGTTTAGAATTATTCATTTTACTCTTATGAATATGAAATTTTCCTAATAAAATTATAAGATTCATCATAACATTTAAGGAAGAGTTTTCAAAATATATGATACATCTTTGATGTTAATTCACAGTTATAAACAGATGTTTTTTGTTTTTTACAATTTTTTTACTGGTTTATTTATTTTAAGTAACCTAATAAAGTTATTTATTTATGCATATATGTATTTTTACATTTCATGGTAGCCTATTTAGGTATATCCACCTTATTCCTAATTTAAAATGAACTAACAGCAGCAGAAAAGTCAAGGACAGCCGGCGACAGCCTTTCAACCTGAGTCAAAAACCAGTGAACGTAACTCTGATTGGCTGAGGCAGCATATCGTCATAATCCAACCTGTAACGTCAGCCACTCTGATTGGCTGAGGCAACGTGCCAGGCATGTGGCGTGTTTTTTAAGCAGAAAGTAACTACACAGATATTCAGCCTGCTTCGCCGTCATGATCGCTGGGGAACCCATCTTTTCCTCTAAATTGAAGGTAAGTTCGTCCAGCTTAGTGAATTCTATGTCCATGTCTACTTATAGTTTTTGGTAGTTTAGCGTTTTTGTCTTAAACTTCACAAATCGGCTGTGATTACTGCCGCGAATGTCCAAGGGTGTTAACCTAACGGAACAGTTTTTTGTTTTGCGTTAGCTTGCTGCTCTTAATTCTTTTTTTGTTTCATTTCAATTTGAACAAATTTGGGACACTAAACTGTACGTTGGGTTGCACGTTGTTATCTGGCTGCAAGTTAGCTACCATTCTTTGATAGTAATCAAACTAACTCATTTACTCTGAATATCGTCAGAAATTATGAAAAAATAATAAGTGCCAGGGTCCTAAAACAAAGCGCGTAATGTGCTTGTATGCTCTAGTGTAGGCTATCCTTGTTTGTAAAATTGCATCACTTTGTGTGATGAGTGAAATCTTCAGATGTTTGTGATTTGTTTTGTCTCTCAGGGGCTGTTAGGAGTGAGGTGTCCTTCGCTGATGGAGAAAAAACACCTAAATAAGGTAACGTTACGTGTTGTGATCTCATCCTCTTTTCTTTTGAACAGACCCCAGTCAAATAAAAAGTAAAACTAAACTAATTTGGATTAACGTCTGTGTTTATAGATGACTTTGAGCGTGAGACAGTGGTGAAAACGCCAAAGAGAACTGGAACATGGCATGTTATATTCAGTTATAAATGTTTGACCAAGTTTTTAAATATCTTATAAATCTGTTCAGTTTCATCATTTGATAATAACTTTTAAAACACATTTTTTTTTGTGTATAGATGCAGTGACTGAGACTGGGAGATGCAGTGACTGAAACCTGGTGGTAAGTGTTGATTGGCAGTGGAGAAGACACTTTTAATAGACACCTTCTCTCTTGTGAGCTAGCAAACTTTGTTATTCTAATTAGAGCATTGTAAACATCACCAAATGTGTTCGTTTATTTCAGTGTTCCAGAAAAAGGTCCTGAAACTACTGGTCGACATCCGCCATCGCCTGAAGGAAACCAGGTAGTGGATGCAGAAGAAACATATTTTTGCTTACAAATGTGGGGACTTGGGGCAGATTGCCTTTGCATACATCTAAATCATTTGTCTTTTTCAACTTTGCAGAAGGGGTCATGAAATTCGGTTCCACAGCCACTGAGGTGTATGTACATCAAGGTGAACCTCAAGCACGCGTCGCAAAGACTTAAATTCACTTCGCCCTGATGAGCCAAGCCTACAGGACTTGAATTAAGAGTTTTAAAGGGATAGTTCACTTTGAAATTATTTTTTGAAATGTTTTGGCTTACGTCAAGGGCATCAGTCAGTCATATAATGGAAGTCTATGGGGATCTCTTAAAAGAGCATGCACAGAGAAGTACAAATTAAACATGATTTAATGAATCATAACTGTAAGTACACCTTGATGGCTTAAGATACGAGACGAGCGGTTTGTGTGAGAAAATGAACAGTGTGTGTGTGTGTATATATATATATATGATCTGCGCATGCGGTGGAAACCGCCAGAAGCGATCTTGCACTGGTACGTCACTCATTGTTTACACAGATTTCGGAAGTTTTACTGTGAAGATCTAAACATATTAAGATGTATTGCATTTTGTGTATATCTAAATATATATATATATATATATATACACACACACACACACACATTTATACAATATAAATACTGTTTGTTTTCTTTCCCAAAACGCTCATTTCGTGTCTTAGTCAATCATTGTGTACTTAATTTATGAGTCATTAAATCATGTTTAATTTGGTCTTCTTTGTGCATGCTCTTTGAGGTGGTGACCATAGACCTGCATTATATGACTGACAGACAACAACAGTTTGACCTAAAAATATCAAAATTGAAAATACTGTGGAAACAAAACCACCTGCATCTTGGATGCCCTTGAGATAAGATAAAACATATCAAAAATTTATTTCAAAGTGAACCATACCTTTAAATTACATCCTTATTATTCGTTCATAATTCTGGCTCCACTGTACATTGTGTTTGATATATCTGGTGCCCAATTCTGATGCCATTCAGGGCAATTTATTTTTGAATAGAGATGCAATATATTATTGATTTATTTGTATAACTGTAGTGCTGTATGTATGTATGTTGTCCCATGTTTCCAGAGGGTGGAGGACATGTTTTCTGTGCTTTGAAAGATGTTCTCCTATGCTGTGTACATAGTTTTGTGTTTGTTCTAATAAAGCTATTTCTTTGAATAAACAGTATGTGGCAAATGTTCCTTTCCTCAATAAATTCATGTCCTTGATGGTAATAATAATTTAGTCCATAGGATAACAATGACATGAATAAACAACATAATAGCATATCATATGAATATATATATATATGATTATTATTATTATAATTTTATGTCGGCTGACCAATAGTAACAGATCTGCCAACCAATCACGAGTGATTTTCTTGTTTAAATGTAGTGAATTTCAACCAATACTGAGTGAGGAAATTCAAGCCATTCTCTGGCAAGGCGCGCGCAGTGCTGCTATTCATATGCTAATTAGGGCCATTCGCACCTCCGCGAGCGCTGCATGCATACGTCATGGTTCGTTTCCGTCAATATGTGGCACAGTGGAACGCGACGTTCACAGTCTGTAAATTGTCGTTAACTGCCGAAAATTAGGGAGATTTCCGGCAGTTTACGGGGACGAAAATCCCACTTTTCATGCAGTGCACTGCACGCACATCCCTAATGACAACACATATTTAGACGGTGATCTATAACTGGAGAAGAGCAATAAGTCAAAGGACTCACCAGGGAATAGCTACAGGAAATATCACCATTTAGACTTTTGTTACACGCAGTACGGAGAAGAATGACAATGGTGCCTTTAGACAAACTTTTTATAGAGCCACCGGGACCCAACAAACCTCCCTAATTGAGCCACACAGGTGTATTCAATATCGTGCCGTGGCTCAATTCCGCTGGGCGTGTCTTCCCATTAAAAAAACTCAGAAACTCTTAACCGGTCACATTCACATAGAAAACAGCTGTTTTAATCAGTAAAAATTAGTGCTGTCAAACGATTATTCGCATCCAAAATAAAAGTTTGTGTTTACATAATATATGTGGGTGCACTGTGTAAAATTATTTTGTAATACATAAAAAATACACACACATGCATGTATATTTAAGTAAAAAGTATTATTTCATATAAAATATTTATATTTATATAATCTAAATTATATATAAATCTAGATACAGTATATATATGAAAATATTTCTTAATATATACATGCATGTGTGCAGGGGCGCAACTACCCAGTTTCAGAGGGGTATGCAGCAAAACAATTTTAGCCCCCCCCCCCCACCCACCCATCCCCCCCACCCCCCGACCTAAAAAAAAAAAAAAAAAAATATGCAAAAAAATGTAATGTAAGTGTGCTGAGTAATAAGTGAGTGGAAGAAATGAGAGCTAACATAAAAAAAATAAGTGCAAAATTGTCGCTTATTAACACAATTAAACTATAGCTACTCCACCTTGATGAACCCCTAAGAAAACTATAAGCTCCATTGGAACAGCAATACCAGTGTTTCTCACAGGATTTTAGGTAAAACTGTGGTAGGTGGACCTCTGTTTCTCTAGGGGGTTCGGGGGCATGCTCCCCCGTAAGAAATTTTTGGTTCTGTAATGTTAAATTCAGCAGTCTGGTGCACTTTGAGAGTTCAAAATTAAAAGCTCCAACCCATATTCAGGGTGCAAATTAAACAAAGAAAAATTTGAACCTCTTTTAGTTAGTGTCTGTCTACATTACACTACTACATAATAATAGTTTATAATATTAATTCCACGATGGTAATAGCCAAGGCTATTGTAAAACAAAATGCACAGAAAAATAAAGGAATTTAATAATTAGTTTTGCACTAATTTCTATACTTGATAAGCGCATAATGACATATTTCATGGGCCAGTGTGTCAGAAAAAAAAAAACTAAAGCTGACTTTTTTTTGACCAATGCATTACACCAGCACAGCTCCGCCAATTAAGCAAAAAACTAAACAAAAAAAAACAACAAACAAATGTATGAGTTTTGTGGGCCGTTAAGACAAATAAATTAAAAAAGGATGAAATGTATTGGCTGAAAAGCACGTCGGCCCAGCGGGTCTCCCGGTAGTCCCGATGGCCACCGAGATATAGATAGCCTACATGCATGTCACATTTTAAATCCTACCTGTTGGCTTTCAGCAATGGATGCAGTTATTTCAATTTACATGCCATCTCCTTTTCTCTCTTTCTTTTTCTATTTTTAGCCCCACAGCATTTTGTTTTATCCATCTTTTTCGACGACAACTCTACTCGTACCTGCTCGCTCAGCTCACGGCGGCGGCCCGCCCGCTCGCGATATTACCCGCCCCCCTTCTCCATGAGGGCGCCTACTCTAGCCTGGCTGTTAGTCCTCTAAAATTTTATATAACATTGAAGGTATGCAGAAATGATTTAGAAACGCACAACGGCAGCTACATATAGAAATACAATATAGCATATATATATATATATTTTTTTTTTTTATTTTTTTTTTACCATCGCTTTGGCGCCCCCCATTGTGCTGCGCCCCTATGCGCCGCATATAGCGCATACCCACTTTTTGCGCCACTGCATGTGTGTGTATTTATATTATAAAAATAATTATACACAGTGCACCCACATATATTATGTAAACACAAACTTTTATAATCACGATTAGGGCTGGGCGATATGGCCAAAAAATCATATCTCGATATTTTTTGGTCAAATGGCGATATACGATATATATCTCGGTACTTTCTACATTTTCTATTTAGATAAAGAAATCTTTATATTTAAAAAAAAAAAAAAATATATATATATATATATATATATATATATATATATATATATATATATATTCACATTCGGCCCAATGATATCCTACAAAACAATGTTGATATTGAAGTATATGGAACAAAAAATAATATAGGCTATGCAATATATTATGTGCAAAAAGCTTTTGTTTTTATATTGACTAAAAGCTAAACTAAAAATGAAAATAAAAACAAAAAACAACGCACAAACTAAATTATATTAGCCTGCATTTGATTACCCCATTATAATCACTTTCACTTTCATTAAAAATATATACTTGTAGGTTTAAAATTCCACATATGGCACATTTATTTTCTCCAACAACAAATATTTTAGCAATATGTTTATTTAGTCAGAATTATTGCGTACTACG